CTGCTTGCAGCTCCCTGGTGCAAGCAGCCTGGACTCCATGGTATGTGGTAGGGACCTACCTAGAGCCCAGGCTGCTTGCAGATGCAAGGTACACACTTCAGTTTTGGGGGAAAGTGCATGTGGTATACAAGTAAATATGGTAGTACCTTTGCTACAGTGCCATTAATACAGACTCCTTTTCACACCAATACGTGGCTCTTAATAAACCATGATTTGTCATTTCTCATATTCAAAGAAATCTATGTTACTGAGACAAATTAAAGGAAAGAAGCATTCATTTTAAGAAATTAGAAAACTAACAGGCCAAAAAACAGTTGAGATCCGTACCTTTGACCAGAAGAAAAAAATCTCTCTGGGCAACAAAAACAGTAATCAAGAAACCATATTTAATTTTTCTTTTAAAATAGCAAACTAATATGTGTTAAATGTGTCTTTTACATTATTTGTTACTACAGCCTTAAGGCTAGAGTTGAAGTCAAAATTGGGCCACTATGCTCAAGTCTTTCTAACCAAGGTTACTGACTTGGAAAACAGAAGGGGAAAAGTAAAGAAATTCTTCAACTCCAGAGCCCATTCCTTGAGGATTAAGTTCCCTTTCCCCATGGCGAGTTAGCCAGTCATTAGGTATTCAACCCAGGTTTTACAGAATACTATTTATATCTGTGAACATCACTTGCACTAGCAGATAGTCAGTCCTGTTGCTGTCAGATCTGTTGGCATAATCCATAAGATCTGTGTTCTTAACTAACTACTAGGATTCAGGCATCTACCAGGATAGTGATCAAGCATTACTCCACAATGCTAATAATTGTTGCTTCATGCCATGCCCCAAAGCAGTAGTAATCCAGTCTGAAAATTGATGACATGGGACTTGTAAGGATTTCCAAGGTTCATTCTAATGTGCCAAGTTCCCATCCAAAAAGCATGTCCTTGTAAAATCTGCTTTCCCTTTGAATCTCACAAAGCCCAAGTAGTGTTTTGATGTCCACAGGTTTTAGGAAGGGCTATCTCTGCCAACTAAACTTTTGTTTGTCCGGTTATGATAAAAATAGAGTATGTTTAGGAAGCCTGGAAGATCTGGTCAGTAATCTCACAAGTGGCATCCACACTGTCATGACCCAATGATTTTGTGTGCGCTTCGGCACTGCAGAATTATTTCCCGCCACATGGAGCTTTCTTTGCACAGTGCAATTCTCAGCTGCAGAGAGAAAACCCCGGTGCAAAGGAGTTCCCGCCGCTCGCATGCAAATTTGTACCCCACTATTGGCTGTTTCTAAATTATTCCTACGTGGCGGCTAGCGATTGGCTTGCTAGCCATATAAGAGGCTTGAGCAGTTTCCGCCCAAGTCGGAGATCTCCGGGGAGGACCTCATTTAGGGGGATTCTGCATCCATCTCGTGGAGAACTCTGAGCCACGTGGTAGAGCCTAACAAACTCTGCGCGTGTCTTGGAGCTGACCGGTGGTTTGATCAGCTACCAAGAATCTCTCCCCGTCACCGCACGATCCCTCGACATACCCTACCCTGCGTGCTCGTCGAGAGTCACCTTTCGGACTCTCATTTCGGTCGTTCCACGGAGCCTAGCAAACTCCGTGAGTGTGTATCCAGAGCTCTGTTCGTGTTTGTTTTGTGGAGCCTAGCAAACTCCACGTTTGTCTTTTTGTAACTGCAACTCAAGAAAGTTTTTCCTGCCTGCACCACGACCACCTACGGTGTAAGTAAAACAATCTTTAATCAACCTCTACGCGTCAGTGCCTAATTCTAGTTTGCCGTGCCGACCTTTTCCCCGGCCCATGTGCCTGGGCTGCTGGCCACAGCCCCTCGGCCTCGACACACACGAGCGTAGACATTTGGTTCCCCAGGGTCAACTAGCAGCAGCACACCTTGTGTGCTGTCCCAGGGAACACCTGTGCCATGCACCCTCTGGCACACAGCAGGTTACCCTGGGAAGGGGAGGGGAGGAGAGGGTAGGCTGGGGCCAGCGCTAGGCTGACTCCAGCAGCCTTACCTGGGGAACTGGGGGCCTTTTGGGGCTGCAGCAATGGCAATCCAGCCACTTGGAGCCTGGCCAACAGCTGGAGTGTGGCTCTGGCTGGTCAGGCTCCAGTTTTAAGCCGCATGCGCTACCCCACACGCGCTGCTTCACTTTTTTGTGCATGTTTTTTTGACCTCTAGATATTCAAGGGTCAACCCCTGCCCTGCCGTGCTGCTCCCTTGCAGTGCAGAAAACAGCTGAATGTGTGGTATGTGGTGCCACAGATATATGTCTGCGGTGCCATATATCACATGGCTGTGCTCGTCTGCACACGACCACAAGCTGCAAACAGGAGCATCAAGCTGTGACAAAACCCCCCCTGCAGAATACTTCTTTGTGTAGCTTAGTTTTTAGTGAAGGAAGACTCACATGAAGATGCTGGGTCTGCAGACTCAAAGGCAGTTCCCAAGACCTCTTTTCTGATCTTATCTTAGAGAACTTTCTGTAGCCTTATAGTGCTAAAAGTTTAACATTTAAGGAAGTATGCATGTTGAAATCTGTTAAGAGAGAGATGCTAAGCTTTATGTAATATAAGCCATGCTTCTAAGAAACAAAAACTCTGGAAAGAAAGTTAGTGGACTCTATTTCAGCTGTAACTGACGGTCATTTTTGCTTCCTAGCAACTTGACAGGGTAGGATGCAAGATTTTTTATAAAGTGAGTTATAAGTTCTTTTTGTTGGATGGCAAGGGAAAAACATGAGAAAGCAATATATTTCTCAAAAAGAAAGAAGAAGCATATACCTCAACACTTATTTCTGGGGAAAAAGTCAGATTTATAATCAATTATTATTATGGGTCTAAAGCAGAATTTGTTTCAAATAAAGTAGTATTTTCTTGGGCTGAGAATTTCAATAGTGTCTAACACCCAAGACTGATTTATTGTCACAATTTTAGTAACTCTTAGTAACTTAATTTTTCATTGAAATATGCAACATTTCCCAGTTTTGGGCCACCTCTGAAATCTTTCTGAATACCATTTTACATTAAAACATGTTAATTTAAGTATTATTCTTGACCAAATTCAGTTACATAAAACCTCAGCCTGCTCTGCTTGCATATGAATCAGGGATCATAATATTATATAAGACAAACATGTTTTTAATTTAACATTCTGCCTTAGACTTGCCTAGATTATATTCATCAAGATAACTCAGGTCTCCACCACGACATGTAATGAAAGATATTTCAAACACAAGTCTAGCTTTTCCTGTTCTAACATAAACAAACACCAAGTGGTTCACTTCTTTCAGCCTTTATGATAATTATCTCCCTTCCCCTCAACAATTAATCGCTTAGAGCTGATGACACTGGAAGTCCTGTTGCCAAATTATATCAAATACTAACGTTTACATTAACATAATAAAAACTAAGATACAACTGTTAAAATATTCATTTTATTGTTGGTGGTCATTTTCTTCACTAGCAATAGTAAAGATTTGGTTTGCATGTTGCAGCTTTATTTTATTCTATTAAGAGTCTGAATATGTAACTATAGCCTCTGAGCCTGCTGTGTGATCAGTTAACATAGGCCCTTGTTCCTAAATGCTCCTATTGATTTCAGCGGAACTATGCAACAGTATGGGAGGGAAGGAGGTGCTGATAATCAGTACTAACAGAACACATTGCAGGCTCAGAGCCTTATTCTTTACTCTGGAAATTAGCATTTTAGAGCCTAAAAGCAGGAACTATCTATAATATTCAATCCACCAGGATACCTACAAGCCATACGTCTGTACCTGTCTATGGAAAACTGATCTGAAATGTACTGAAATGTAAGGTAAAATATTTTTTACCACCAGTTTCTGCCAAACCCTTCTTCACTTCAAGGAGCAGTTTTTGGCGGGGACAGAGAGTATACATGCATGAGTGTACACATGCATGAGCATGCACATATGCATGGGGCGGGTCTTGAGTAAATGACATTTCCTGCCTCTTGTTCTCCTCAGAGAGTTATGTTAAACCTGGCTGTTAATGCAATTCTTGAGTTTAAGTGCCCTCAATAGTTGCCTGATTTCCTCTAGATTCAACCACCAAAATCAGCCATCTTCACAAAAATGTATTCCCGCATACAGAATAGGAGAAATTTCCATAAATCAGCTAGGATGAAAGAAGACCTTTGGTGCTGAACATAGCATGCAGATAAGTGCAGGGAGACTTCTTCATTATTGGGAGAAGTATTATATATAAGCAATTTTCTAGCTATCAAATATCTCTCACAGTTGTATTTTCTTCCCACCTGCATTGGTTTTTTTTGCATTTGTCATCACAAGTGGCCTTTACCAATAAAACCTGGGTTCTGCTTAGTACAGCAAAAGTTAAACTGTCTGGGCTTCAAGTCATTTTTAATGGGGTTCTGACTTTGAAATTTCAATATATGAGTTCCCTTAGACAAGAGTGGCCACAGAATCAAACCACAGAATTAGAAATGAAAATGAGCCAGTCCCTTATTTTTACCTCACTGAATAAACCAATGAAATGGTATAAATAAAATGATGAACTTACCTTATGACAACAAACTCAGACTTGACCAGTGAGTTACTTTTATTTCAATTGACTTGTACAAGGGGAGGAAAAGCTAGAGCTGGACATGTTTGTTATGTGGGTTATTTCTTTTGCCTCTTTATGGTGGTATTGTCAAATGTACAGGTTGACTAATTATTAGGGAGATACAAGAGAGGGAAAACAGATTTTTGCTATTTGAAAAGTTAAGCTATCAGAAGAGAGAAACGGGGGTGACACTATTTCACAAAAATACATACAGCCATGCAATGAGATAAATTTAGATATTTATAAAATATTTTTAAAATGGGAAGGACAAAAATCAAATATAGAGTTGTTTACCACATGGGACTAATTTTATTTTAAATCTTTCTTTTAACAGTGCATTTTCCAATAACATCAAAAAGAGGTCTTAAAAAGATGTTGAGTATGAGATTTCTAAATACAGATCAAGTTTGGTACTCACCCACAGCAGCATAACTGGGAAGTTCAGGGTAAAGTGACTGTGGATTTTTTACTGCTGCAGAAAAAAATTAGAATAAGATTCTATACCATACTAATCTATGTAATTTTACTTTGCTGCTTTTGTAACATAAGTTCACAACAGCTGTGCAATTATTACTGTTAGATCAGAAGCAGTGTGGAAGAATACAAACAGCTATTTCTCGAATCAGGAGTGATAGATTGGGATATTGGCTTTTATCCCTGTTCAAAGAGGAGGAAATGGGGTCAGCAATCATACCTACAGAAAAGGCTAGTTTCTGAGTATCAAATCCATTGTTTCTCTGTCACTTTTCATAGCAAGTAGAAATCATCAGGAGAAGCATACCCTCTGCTTGCACTGTCGGTGGGCAGACTGCTACATGTAATCCATGCTCTTGAGAACAAAATTCCACCCCTATGAAAAAACTATCTACCTAAATACCTAAAGCAGTGGAAACAGGGAGAAATTACTAAAGAGGAGTATGCCTCCTCAGCTCGCAGTTGTAGGGAGGCAGTTAGAAAGGCCAAAGCTACCATGGAGCTGAGGATGGCATCCCAAGTTAAGGATAACAAAAAATTGGTTTTCAGATATACAGAGAGCAAAAGGAAGGCCCAGGGCGGTATAGGACCACTACTGAATGGGCAAAAGCAATTGGTGACGGACAGGGGGGGACAAGGCTGAACTCCTCAATGAGTTCTCTGACTCAGTGTTCCTAAACGAGGGGCAAGACAAGTCTCACAATGGGATCAGATTGTGTAGATGTAGAGAGACAACAGCAGGGCACCAGACCACCAAGCGTTGACCCTGAGATACTACAGAGTTACTTGGAAGGACGGATGCGTTTAAGTCGGCAGGCCCGGATGAGCTCCATCCGAGGGTACTGAAGGCACTGGCTGATGCCATTGCACAGCCACTGGCAAGAATATCTGAGCACTGGTGGCGCATGGGCCACGTCCCGGAGGACTGGAAAAGGGCCAGTGTGGTCCCTATTTTCAAGAAGGGGAGGAAGGAGGATCCAAGCAACTACAGGCAAGTCAGTCTCAACTTCAGCCTTGGTAAAGTGTTTGAAAAGACTATTAAGGTTCATATATGTGAGAGCCCAGCAGGAAAAATTATGCTGAGGGGAAACCAGCACGGGTTCGTAGCAGGTAGATCATGCCTGACTAATCTAGTCTCTTTTTAAGACCAGGTTACAAAACACCTGGACGCAGGAGTAGGG